GGATGGATAGATGGTAGGATGGATGGATGGATGGATGATAGATGGATGGATGATGGATGGATAGATGATGGATGGATGGATGGATGGATGGATGGATGATGGATGGATGATGGATGGATAGATGGTAGGATGGATGGATGGATGGATGATAGATGGATGGATGATGGATGGATAGATGATGGATGGATGGATGGATGGATGGATGGATGGATGGATGGATGGATGATGGATGGATGGATGGATAGATGATAGATGGATGGATGATGGATGGATAGATGATGGATGGATGGATGGATGGATGGATAGATGATGGATGGATGGATGGATGGTAGGATGGATGGATGGATGATAGATGGATGATAGATGGATGGATGGATGGATGATGAGGAATTCATCAGCCTTTAAAACCAGCTAAGCTGCTTCCATCTCTAATGTTTTTGCTGTGAGTCTCACCGTTGGACTCTAACAGATTCAGATAAGGTCTTCTTATCTTGGCCTTCCACTGTTTTTTTGTTTTTTTTCTCTCACACACAATTCTTGGGAACAAAGTCTGTCTCTACGTCAGCTCTACTCTTGACAGAAAACGATACCAAAACAATGACCTCTGTTTGGCAACCAATAAAAACTGGCCTCCACATCTTTGTTGCATCTGTGGGGGGGGTAATTATGTGTGAGTTAAAAGGCAAAACACCTCAGGAGGGCATAAATCGGCAGCAGAGTGGAGACAGAGCAGGCATGGTGTCCAGATGGCTGGATCGAAGAGCGTGTAGCTGAGGATGGGACGGCCTTGGGGTCCTGATTAGTGAGAGCCACATGGCTCATTACTGAGACGACCTGTGAAGGCAGATGAGGGTTAAAGGTCAGAGAAGTGTATAAATCCCCTGTAGGAGTGGATGGAGCTGAAGGAGAGGACTTCACCAGGATGATCAGTGGTGCTGAAGTGATTTTTCTACAGGAGGGTTGAACCACAGTGACAAAGCATGTAGATACCAGTCTGTTTCTGCAGGACTAATTAACACAGTTTTCCACAGAGTAACACTTCAACAAACCTATTAAGATCACCTCAGTCTTAATAAAACTACAAAGCAGTGAACTTTTACATAATTAAAATCCTAATTCTGTGTAACTCCTCAGCTCAGATAACCACTCACAGAGATTAAACATGATTGTTCTGGTATTATTGAAATAC